AATTATAAATATATAAAAGTGTGTGTCTATATACACACACACTTGTTCACATAGAGATGACAAAGGACTTGTCTCTCCAAACTAGATAACTCAAACTCAAAAACAAAGACAAACATAGCACAACCACATCAAAGTTACAACTAAACTACAGAACAGCCGTCATTCAAAACTGCCTGAAATCAAGCTGAATGGAAGTCCTACAACTACGGTATTAAAGCAGCAGCCACATCCAGACTGGTAGGAGGGGCGGAGGGGCGGAGGGGCGGAGGCGCGAGGGCCGGTGGCGAGACGGGCTGGTCCCACACCCACGTGTGGTGGATAAAAATCAGGAGGCTCCCGCGGCTGAGAAGGTCCTCCCTGAGGACTGAGGGGTCCCCGTCCCACACCAGGTGCCCCGCTCAGGGTTCCAGTGCCAGGAAGAGAATCCCCATAACTTCTGGCTGGAAAAACCAGCTGGAACTGAGGCTCAGGGAGGCTGGGGCGGCTGGAGCCCCAGGCAGCTCCTTAAAGGGCCCGCGCACGGACTTATCGGACTCTCTCCCTCTATGCTTGGAGGGGAGGCAGCTCCAGGGGCGCCAGAGACATACAGGGAAGAACTGAGCTGTTTGGCACTGGAGCGAGGGCTGGAGAGGGGGCTTTCTCCGGGAAAAACTGCTGTAAGAGGCCTTTGTTCCTTTGGTGAGCCCTTCCCTGGGGCGGCAGACAGTCTCCATATCTGGGACTCCAGGAACCGGGCTCACTGGTAACCCTGCCCTGGTGACTCCCTGAGGCCCCGCCCCACCCAACTTTCAGGCCCACCTAAGCTGTCGCCACTTGCTTAACCATAGGATAGGCCTGTCTTGGATTCTGCTTCAGATTTTTCCTAAATTTCAAATAAGCAGCATCTGGTCTCAGCTAGCCCCATACCTCTCGTTAAGTAATACACAGAAACGAATACAGGGAGGCAGCCAAAATAAGGAGACATAGAAACAGGTCCCAAATGAAAGAACAGAACAAAACCCCAAGAAAAATAAGACTGTCAGCTGATTTCTCAAAAGAAACTTTGCAGGCCAGAAGGGAGTGGCAAGAAATATTCAGAGTGATGAAAAGCAAGAACCTACAACCAAGATCACTCTATCCTGCAAAGCTGTCATTTAGAATCGATGGTCATATAAATACTTTCCCAGACAAGAAAAAGTTAAAGGAGTTCATCACCACCAAACCATTATTATATGAAATGATGAAGGGTCTTTTTGAAGATAAAATATATGAACAAACAAAATGGCAATGAATACATATCTATCAACAATGGAATCTACAAACAAAATGAACAGGTAGAACAGAAACATTCTCATAGATACAGAGAACATTTTGTTGGTTGCCAGATGGGAGGGGGGTTGGGGGAATGGTTGAAAAAGGTGAAGGGATTAAGAAGTACAAATGGGTTGCTAGACTGACAAACCTCAAAGGGAAAGGGGTTGGGGTGGTGGGAAGAAATAAACCAAAGAACTTATATGCATAACCAATGGACACAGACAATAGTGTGGGAAAAGGCGGGAGGGGGGTGGGAGTGGGGAGGAGGGGGTCAATGGGGGAAAAATGTGGAACATCTGTAATACATTTTACGTTCAACAATAAAGATTTAAAGAAAAAGAAGACAAACATAATTTTACAAGAGCTTTTACAAAGGAAGCTATATAGCCAATACATGTGTGAAAAGGTGTTCCACATCATTAGTTAACAAGCAAATAAAAAATTAAAACCACTGACACTGCTACACACCCAACATTTAAGGCTGATAACATCAAATGTTGGTGAGGATGTGGAGCACCCAGAATTCTCATCTTTAGTTGGTGAGTATAATGGTACAACCACCCTGGAGAAAGGTCTGACAAGTCTCTTGTATACTAAACATACACCCATACCTACTCTATGACCCAGTAAAGTGCCCATCCTGTGGAACCTATATTGTCAGAGAAGACAGATAAGTCTACACTTGTCAGTGTAATCAGTGCTACTGAGGAAAATGAAAGAGGGTAAGGGGATCAAGACCAAAGGGAGGTATACCGCTTTATTTAGAGCAAGCCAAAGAGAAATTGGAGATGTCTATTTTTTATTTGTTGCTATATATTTGCAGTTCTTATAATAGTTCTAACAGTTCTTATAATAACCTGGCATTTGTGTGCCTTGCTAAAAAAATATTTATTGCTCTGGTTAAGTGGCTCAGTTGGTTGAAGCATCATCCCATACACCAAAAGGTTATGGGTTCGATTCCTGGTCAGGGCACGTAACTAGGTTGCAGGTTAAATCCCTGGTCAGGTGCATATGTGAGGCAACCGATTGATGTTTCTCTCCTACTGATGCTCTCTCTCTCTCCCCCTCTCTAAAAAATAAAAACATATCCTCAGGATATATATTTATATTGAACGTCTAGATGAATGAACCAATTTACAATTCCAATTCAATTTACAATTTTTCTGGAAATTGGCCTACTGATTATAAAATGTATATGAAAGAATAAAGGTGCACAAATAGCTAAGATACTCTAAAAATTTTAAGGAGGTATTCAGTCTAAGTAACTAAGTATGATATTGTTATGGGAATATACAGATAACTAAAACAGATCAAAGTCCACACTCACTCCAGCAAATATGGGTGCATGGGCGTACGACAGCAGAATCACCAATCAACTGAGAAAGACTCCCAACAATGGTGTTGGGGTAACTGTTTCACCACGTGGAGAAAAATTAAAAATTGATTTCTGAACTGACACCATACAAAAATAAATTATGGATAAAGATTTAATATTCAAACAAACCTCTAGCCCTGGCCAGCTTGGCTCAGTGGATGAGCGTCAGCCTGTGGACCAGAGAGTCCTGGGTTCGGTTCCCGCAAAACAAACAAACAAACAACCCTCTAAAACTTAATGATCTTGTGGGAGAGGTGGCTTCTTAAAGGCACAAAACAAACCCCCCAAACCATAAAAGACAAGATACATCAATTTGACTTAAAAATTAAAAACTTTGACCATAAGTAAACGAATGGATAAAGATGTGGTCCATATATAGAGTGGTATATTAGCCATAAAAAGAATGAAATCTTACCATTTACATCATGGGTGAACCAAGGGGGTATTATGTTAAATAAGTGAGACAGAGAAAGACAAACATACGCTTTCATTTATATGTGAAATCTAAAACACAAAATAAACAACACACACACAAAAACTTAAACAGAGAACATTTTGCTGGTTGCCAGATGTGTGTGTGTGTGGGGGGGGAATGGGTGAAAAAGGTGGACGGGATTAAGAAGTAGACACTGCCAGTTGTGAAAACAGTCACGGGGGTGTCAAGTACAGCATGGGGAAATACAGTCAGTCGATAATACAGTAGTAACTATGTATGGTGTCACATGGGTACAGAACTTATCGGGGTGATCACTTCGTAAGTTATATAAATGTCTAACCACTATGTCATACACCTGAAACTAATATAATGTGTAAACTGACTGTAATTGAAAAATAAATTTAAAGAAAATAAAAAAGTACATGATAAATATATGTAAAGGGCAAGTTAACTGAAAGGTATTTGCAATATTACTCCTGCAACTCAGTAAGAGAAAGCCAAACCGCCCAAGAGATAACCAGGCCAAGAACACATACTGGTGCCTCACCAGTGAGGAAGTCCTAATTGTCAACACAAACGGGGAAAAAAATGCCCAGACCCAGTAGCAATCTCAGAAAACCTCAAAAAAATATTATTTTTAACTCATCAGATTAACAAAACTTTGTCAAGGCAGTATCAAATGCTGTCCAAGATGTAGAAAATAGGAACTTCTGAATACTGCCAGTAAGGCGGAAAAAAAACTGCCATTCTGAAAACGAGCGAGCTCCTGCTGACCTGGGGGTGCACCTGCTGACCTGGGGGTGCACGTGCTCTGGGACACAGCACGGAGAGATGCACAGGCTGTTTCTACAGAGAAATGTTCAATACACCCAGATGTCCAACAGAGGAGAACAAATACACAAAAAGAGCCATTATTTATTCAACAGAATACAGTGGTTATGAGTAAATAGCTGTTTACAAATCAGTACAGAGTCCCAAGACACAGTAAGTGAAAATAAAGGGTACAGACAGCTTGAAGATATTTTATGGACATTTTAAAACACCAAAACAATACTGTTTCCTTATGAGACCGGTGAAGGCGTAAAGAATGGATGAATGCATACACAGATTCATTGTGGTGGTGGCCTCTGTAGACTGGAGAGGGGAACCGGACCTCGAGAACCGGTTGAACAAAGAATCTGACTTACATCATAATCTATTATGTCTTAAAAGGGGGAGATATTACTTCTGGATGACGGGAATGTAGATATGTATTATTATTTGTCCTTTTGGGTTCCTTTGCCAAATTTGCATCTGCAGCGTACTTCCCCTGGTGCTCACCATGCTCTGTCCCCACAGTGGTGGGGAATCTGCTGGGGCCAGACACGCGCAGGAGAGCAGAATGCCGGACTCACATAGCTCACTGATGTTCCAAGTAAATACTGGCTGTTCATGATTTTAGCCTTAACTGACAGACTTCAGTATTATTTCCTAAGTTGAAACTCACAGCATCCGTCAACATGCAAACTGAAAAGCAGACCAGACGTAAAACACGTCCTTCAGGTCAGGATCTTTGAGGGCCCGATCAGATGTACAAATGAAGTCACCCAAAATCCCTTTTCTCCAGTGCCATCTGGTGGGAAGAGAGGCAACCTCATCTGTACCTTCCACATTTGCAGTTAACAAAGTACCACTTTTTTTTTTTTTTTCAATTAAATGAAGCACCCACGCCCTGGGTGGTTTGGCTCAGCAGTCAGAGCGATGGTCCGCGGACCAGAGTCTTGGGTTCGGTTCCCAATAAGGGCACGTACCTCGGTTGCAGTTTGTCCCCAGCCCCGGTGGGGGTCATGCAGGTGGCAGCCACTCGGTGTGTCTCTCTCACATTGATGTTTCTCTCTCTCTCTTCCTCCTTCCCGCTGTCTCAAGACAAATGCAAAAATGTCCTCTGGTGAGAATAAACCAATAAAACTATTTAAATGAAGCACCCACTTTTATTCTGAGGTTACGAGGCAGTACACTGGTAACTGTTTGCTTTCTTTAGCGCCTTCCTCAAACTAAACTCTTCAGCCTACAGAGTAGATAGGAAAGAGCTTTCTCTTTTCCTGCTCAGATTCCTTTTTACTGTTTTTAAATCAAGAGATGCTTTTGCTTCTTCCTCACCAGACCACTCTGCAATCCTAATCTGCATCATCGACATTTCAAACCTTCTAGAGTGCTCAATTCTAACAGTTGACTTCTATATTAAAAATTAGTGTCATTCTGCTTTATATAAACTAAGGGTGGTAAAGGACTTTTAAAATACAACATTGGCACTATAAATATGCGGGGGAACTACAAACAGTCCCTTCTTCCAAGCACTGGATGGAGGTAGTATGAAACATACAGTATCTTATCAAGAGCCAATGGAAGAAACTAGGCTTTTTCAGACATTCTAAAGAAAAATATCGACATTTTTTTTTAAAAAGGAAAAAACACAAAGTAACCAGGTTATTAATCCCCCAATTTGAAATACTCAGTTCCTTCATTCATTTACAATCCAGAGATATAGCCAAGCAGGGTGGTAAACATTCTTTGGAAAATGTCAACTGTATTCAGACAAAAGTGAATTCTAAACGGTTTTCCATTAGTGTTTTACGTGGCTACGACTCCATTCGAGCTTTAAACCGTGCTGCAATAGACAGCTTTGTAACCGTGTTCAGTTCAGAGATAGCAGAGGATGGAAATCATTCGAGCTTTAAACCGTGCTGCAATAGACAGCTTTGTAACCATGTTCAGTTCAGAGATAGCAGAGGATGGAAATCATTCGAGCTTTAAACCCTGCTGCAATAGACAGCTTTGTAACCGTGTTCAGTTCAGAGATAGCAGAGGATGGAAATCATTCGAGCTTTAAACCGTGCTGCAATAGACAGCTTTGTGTTCAGTTCAGAGATAGCAGAGGATGGAAATAAAGTCAAAGGCACTCCCTCCCTCAGAGGCTCAAAATTGTTAGATTTTGATGCAGATTTAAATTTAGCAAGTTTCAGTGACTCCATTTAGATGATCCTGTAGGTTCATACAAACGCACTGAATTGTTGGTTTAACTTCTCTTCCTTTCTCAATGTTTATGATAAAGACACTAATCCCTGTATTGGGACTGACTGATACAAATTCAGATTTGCTCTGAGTTGCTGGTAGGGAACACTCAAGGTCAGTCAGGAAATAATCGAACAGGCTTTTCATGTACGCACCATGACTCACAACTAAGACACTGGCTACTAATTCTGGAGCTTCACTGTCTGAATTAAATTTGGAGGCACAGTTTTCTCCTAAGGAGAATATCTCTGCCAAAGAAGTTTCCAGACAGTTGGCTGAAGTTCCTGAGGAACACGATTCTTTCTGACCTGCCTCCTTCAGGATCAGCTGACAAAGAAATTCAAAAAAGTCTATCCCACGCATCTTCACCTACAAGGAGAGAAAAGGTGAAATAAAGTGACATTAATGACTGTCTTAAAATAAAAACATTAAAACCGTTTGGAGTTTTCCAGTACGTAAACGTAAAGTACTATGCAAATAGATGAAATGCTGTGTTTTTATTCATTCGATGAGTAGTTCCACGGACATCAGTAAGTGCCCAACATACTTCTGGAACTATGGAAGCACACTGGGGACAAAGATGAGTAAGATACGCCCAGTAGGTGTGGTTCAGTGGTTGAGCGTCAACCCATGCACCAAGAGGTCACCAGTTCGATTCCCAATCAGGGCACATGCCCAGGTTGTGGGCCCGATCCCCAGTGGGGGGCATGCAGGAGGCGGCCAATCGATGTTCTCTCTCATCAATGTTTCTATCTCTCTCTCCCTCTCCCTTCCTCTCTCTCTAAAATCAGTAAAAAAAAAAAAATTTTTTAAAGATGAGTAAGATACAATTCCTCATCCCTAACCCAGAGCACTGGGGGTTGAGCTAGAGAAATCTGCAAGTAAACAGAAGCCCGTGTTAAGTTGGAGTCTACATCCGACACTGCAGTGTACTTCAAACAACAAGGACAAAAAAACTTGTCCTTTGCTAAATTAATAGAAAGTCTGTACATGAAGCCCTGGCCGGTTTGGCTCAGCGGTTAGAGGGTCGGCCCACGGATCAGAGAAAGTCTGTACATGAAAATAACGAACAGGGGGGAAACCACCACCAATACAATTCAAAAGCAGAAGGGTCCAAGGAAATGCAAGCATGGCGGTGCCGTTAGAGCTGGAGAGGCGGTGGAGGCCGGAAGACCCCGAGGCCTGATTTACTCCACCTCTCGGGTGTCTTGCCCGCCGTGCTCCTTGAACACCCCCGCTCACATTACTACCACGACCACTGCTGAAGTGACGGCTTCATGCTCAAAGACTTTTCCTGACAGTAACTCCTAATAACACACATCCTTTAAATCCACTATCAGCTGTGACTGCCAACTTCACAGTCAATGAGAAAGCCGGGGTAGCTTACAAAGAAAAAAAGATATCATGCAGTTGTTTTATAAACCAAGACACTTTCACACGGCTTAGCTGAAATTTAGGAGCACCCAATTTACAAACAAAAAGAAAAGGGCTATTTCAGCCACTGTGACACTGGCAGGCTCATCGTCACGCCCCGGGTGACGTACCTGGTCCAAGGTCTCTCCTCCAGATGGTGTGAACAGCGGACACTCTTCCCCAGCTGCTTTGGCCATTGCCCTGAGCTCAGCTACCCCTTGGCCTTCTGCAACCCCATATTTCTGCAATGAACAAAAGACAAAAGTGCCCCTGATGAATTCCCAATACAACAATTAAGTACAAGTTGATGATAAATTCAGAACAAATCACCCCAGGCAGAAGTGTGGTTTCCTTCCACTTACCTTATTACATCTCCTCTGAACTGATAATTCCCACAATGATAACGGATTACTTGCATATTGAAAGACATGTCATTACTTATGGTTTGCATCAATGATGCCAGAGAGTCTAAACACTATCAGACAGAGTCCAATCGTAAAATATTCTTAAGAGTATATGCACATTTTGCCAGGTGCACTTATAATCCTCAAGGCCAACCTTTTTTTTTTTTAATCATCCTCACCCGAGGACATTTTTGCATTTATCTTCAGACAGAGCGGGAGGGAGAAAGGGAGGAAGAGAGAGAAACATCAATGTGAGAGAGACACATCGAGTGGTTGTCACCCACACGACCCCAACTGGGCTGGGGACAAACCGCAACCAAGGTACGTGCCCTTCGTGGGAACCAATCCTGGGTCTCTCTGGTCCATGGGCCGACAAGTTCAAATTCTTACATCCTCGGTTATATCTGCAGCAACCTCTTACAAAGAGGAACATTAATACTCATTCCTTGCTTTGTTTTTTCAAGAGTGCGAACATCCCTTGGTTAAATGCCCTGAGGCCAGAGCAGTGAGGAGAGCAGGGTGACGTGGGCTCCCGCCCGAGATGGCGGCGAGGTGGGCACACTACCCCAGGAACGCTAGTGGAAGTGCTATGATGGACAGAAATACTGGGCACAGACACATACAGCAGAGACGTCCAAGCTGGACTTGAGGCTCACCGAAGGCCAAAGCCCCGGGCTGCGTGGAAGTGAGCCAGGTTTGGGGAGCACGCGTTCCAGGCCGAGTGGAGACAGATTAGAGGTCCCAGGAGGAAAGAGCACAGGTTGTTTGGGCCACGCCGAGGTCCTAGAGGCCTGTGACCAGTGGGCCAGAACAAGGACTCCAGGGCCAGACGGCCTCAATTTTAATCAGAGCTCTGAACAAAACAGCTTTGTGGCCCCGGGCACGGACCTTTGTGTGCCTTCCTCTCTACACCTGTAAACGGGAGCTAACTGAACATGAGGCTTCTACATCTTCACATCAGGTTGTTACGAAGATTAATAAACTTGCAGAGCTTGGAACAGGACCAGAATGTGGTGAGCGCCATGTCAATGCTTGCTAGTGTTGTTTTTACGCTGGCCACCAAGCACTAGGGAAGGAGGAGGAGGCAGGTGGGGCAACAGACCAGGTCCCACAGTATGTTGAGAGCCAACCAGGTAAGAGCTTGGACAACCTTTGAAGGTAAAAGAGAAGTAGCAAACTGTTTTATAAAGGTGTGGAACAACTTTTCCAAAGATTACTCAGGCTTGTGCTGTGGACACGAGCTTGCAAAAGGGGGTGCGGTGAATAGAGGAAAACCTGCCCGGCCGGTGTGGCTCAGTGGTCGAACGTTGACCCACGCACCAAGAGGTCTCGGTTCGATTCCCGGTCAGGGCTCATGCCCAGGTTGTGGGCCCGATCTCCAGTGGGGGACATGCAGGAGGTGGCCAGTCAATGTTCTCTCATCGATGTTTCTCTCTCTCCTTCTCCCTTCCTCTCTCTCTAAAATCAGTAAAGAAAAATCATTTTTAAGGAAAACCTAGGTGATCCTGATCTAGGTGACAGACGGCAGTGAAGTGCAATGGCAGCCGTGGGTCTGCAGAGAAAGGAAGGGTTCAGGAACTGTTTACAGGTAGAACTGACAAGGTGAAGCATGTGCAGCGTGAGCGACAGTGCAGAGTGAAGGAATGGTTTGAGCTGGTGCAGCAGGAGCCGGGGGAGAAAGGAGAGTGCAGCCCACTCAGCTGGAAGCAGCCGTGGGCATTCAAATGGAAAGAGGCAGCAGGCAGTGTGATACACAGGAGTGAGCAGCTCAGGTTAGAGATCGAAGCCAAAAGCACCCATTTGGAAGTCATCGGCTCATTCACTGACATCATGACAGGATGCAATCGCTCAGGGAGACAGCACAGAGAGTGAAGGGATGGCCCAGCCTGATGAGCAGTAACGCCTGCTGCTCCTACGTGGTAACAGGCCCCATTCCATGTTCACTGAACGCAGCAGATTCGGTCACCATTTGAGCACTGGTTCTCAGGCACGGAATGAGCCTTTCTGAGCAGCACGTATGCTGGAGCTCTAGTATGCGTGCTGAACTGTAACAGCCCACACGCAAGTTAGGAAGGAATTCTCTGCAGACAGCTTGGCCTGTATGTTTCACTTCTGCCCAGGCTTGTCAGAACCCACAGCGCTGGCAGGGATGTTAAGCAGAGTATAGGTCAAGGTTGTAGGGCACAATAAAAAGTCTTCTAGGAGACCTGGAGACAAATCTCAGATGTGAAACTGTTCTATGGCTTTAGCTAAATTCCAGTTTTAGAAAGATTCACTCATGGTATATAAAACGAGCTGCTTATGCTTAAAATCAGGGAGTAGAACTGGGAAACTGAGGGAGAGAGCTTTGCGATTTTATTTGAAAGCCTTACGAATATACCTTGTTTTTATAATTTAAGATGTGTGTGTGTCATATGATTTTGCCTGGCTGGGTGGCGCGGTTGGTTGGAGCATTGTCCCGTACACCAAAAGGCTGTGGGTGCGATTCCTGGTCAGGGCACATGCCTGGGGTGCAGGTTCAGTCCCCGGGCGGGGAGAGTAAAGGAGGCAGCCGACAGATGTTCTCTCTCGCAGCAATGTCTGTCTGTCTCTCGCTTTAAAAACAAAATTCAATGAACATATATCTTCAGGTGAGGATGAAAAAATTTGAGGAAAAAAAAAGATGCATATCATATGATTTTACTAATTAAAATAAGATACTCTCTCTGAGAGTACTGAACAGTGACTGTTACATCATAGATTCTCAACAAATGTTGCCTGGCAGGAATAAATTTTTAGCCATGTGAGAAACTGAGGTGATTACTGATAATTTATGGTAAAGAATAATACGTAAGTTACTTACTCTTTCTCGAAGTCTTGAATCATATGTCACTGTCATATCCTGGCAAAATTTGCTGTTCTCCAAAATCCCGTGCACAGTCTGAAAATTGAAAGACAACTGTTTCTCTTCTCATAAAAACAATCTTTCTGGTCAAAATAATACATGCCTTCCTAGTGAGTAAAAAAGAACTAGAAATTGTTTTCCTTTGCAAAACTTGCCTCTCTTCATACTGCTCACCCTTTGTTCTTCTGCCAGATGTTCCTGTCCTTCTACCCTAACTTCTAGTTCAGAAGCCAGACCACCACTTGTTTTTGTAAATCAAGTTTTATTAGAAAGCAGCCGTTCAGGTCTTGCCTGTGGCTGCTTTCACGGCACCACAGCAGATGAACAGCTGTGACATCTGGCCCACGAAGCCTAAAATGTTTGCTATCTGGCTCTGTACAGAAAATGTTCTAGTTCATTAAGTCTCCACTCAGGTGTGTCTAAATTGCTGCTAAATCCATTGAGTCTTAATTTTAGTCTTATTTTCAGCTGTAGAATCTCCATTTGATTCTTGCTTCTAGTTTTCTGTTCTCTGCTGAAATGCTCAACGTCTTTTCCCTGTGCATTAAATTGGTCACTTTAAAGCCTGGGTCTGTAACTCCCATTTTCAGGTAACTCCCACGGCTGTTTCTGCTGCCTTTTGTTTTTATTTTTGTGTCTCCTTCTCTTTGTGTGCTTGGTTGTTGTCAACTGACAAGAGACACTGTATTTTCAAAACTGTAGAAATTAAGTCCACAACCTGCCTTGTTTTTTTAACACCCTCCCCACAAATTAGATATTACCATTACTGTTCTACATTGTCAATAGTTGTTTACCTTCACCTAAACCTTTAGCAATTTCTCTGTGCATCATTCTTTTCTGCAACTCCGACTTTCCTTCTAGAATTATTTTTCTTCTTCAGTTATCCTCTGAAAGTTCTTTATAGCCTATTTGTCTGAAATGTCCTCATTGCACCTACGCTCTAGAAAATGTTTACTGGGTATAAATCTCTAGGTTCATCCTATGGTCTCTCAGCACATTTAAGAAATTATTATTGATCCTGACAAGTTTGTTGATGGCCTAATATCGGTCTTTAGTGAATGATGCTTTTCCTTCTCATTCTTTAGAGTTCTACAATTTTGTTATGATATGTGTAGATGTGGGTTTTTTTAATCCTGACTGGGACTTATTACACTTTCTGAATCTGATCATTTATTATCTTCAAACAATTCTGTAGAATTATCAGTTTTGGCCCTGGCCGGTTTGGTGCAGCGGTTGGAGCGTCGGCCTGCGGTACTGAGAGACCCAGGTTCGGTTCCCGCTAAGGGCATGTACCTCGGTTGCAGTTTGTCCCCGGCCCTGGTTAGTCGTGCGGGTGGCAGCCACTCGATGTGTCCCTTTCACGTGGATGTTTCTCTCTCTCTCTCTTCCTCTCCCTCCCTCCCCCTCTATCTGAACAAAAAATGGAAAAATGTCCTCGGGTGAGGATAAAAAAGAATTATCAGTTTTGTCCCAAGAAACCTTTATATTTTTCTCCTGCGTTTTTTCTTTTTATATTTTTAAATTGTTGACATTACAGATGTGGCTCATCCCCCCCGCCCCCAACCACTCTCCCGCCAGTCCCCACCCTCCGCCCTCTCTGGCCATAACCACATTGTTGTGTGTCCATGGGGTGTGCATATATATATGTTCTTTGGCTCATCTCACCTTCTTTCATCCTGTTCGCCCCACCACCACCACCTCCCCAAGACAGCTGTCAGTGTGTACCAGGTATCCATTAGTCTGGTTCTAGTTTGTCAGTTTATGTATTTTTTTCATTAGATTCCATATAGAAGTGAGGTATTTCTCTGATTGGCTTATTTTGCTTAGCATAATAATCTCCAGATCCACCCATGCTGACGGAGAAGGTAAGAGTTCCTTCCTTTTTACAGCCGTAGCATCCCACTGCATAAATATACCACAGCTTTCTTATCCACTCATCTACTGATGGGCACTTGGGCTGTTTCCAGATCTTAGCAATTGTAAATAATGCATATGGGGTGACTATATTCTGATTGGTGTTTCAGGATTCTTAGAATATATTCCCAGAAGGGATTGCTGGGTCCAATGGCAGTTCCATTTTTAATTTTTTGAGGAAGCTCCATACTGCTTTCCGTAGTGGCTGCACCAGTCGGCATTCCCACCAACAGTGCACGAGGGCTCCCTTTTCTCCACACCCTCGTCAGCACTTGTTGTTTGTTGATTTATTGATAGTAGCCATTCTGGCAAGTATGAGGAAATATCTCATTGCGTTTTCTTATATAAGTTTTATAAATTTTGCTTTTAGATTAGTTCTATAATCAATCACAAGTTGATTTTTGTGTTGTGTGAGGGAAGAGTCACGGCTCAAGTTTTTACATATGATAGCCCAGTGTTTCAACACCTTTTACAGAAAAGACTACCCTTTCATTCACTGATTTACCCTGGCACGTTTGTCAAAAACCCAGCTGATCAAAAAACACCTGACCACAAAAGTGTGGTTCTTTTTGGGTCCCTCAACTTTTGCTTGAGAGAGAAAGTTTTTGTTTCACCCAATTTTTCAAAGAATTTTCACTGGGTATATATTTGAAAAAAAATTTTAGTCGTTTATTGAACATATTTGTTTTTAATCCTCATGCTCATCCCCCGCCCCCACTTCCCTTTCAGGATTTCAACTATATGTAAATAAAATTGCTTAATGTCATACTATACATCTCTGAGACTCTTCAATTTTACTTTTCTAGTCTTTTTCCTTTTTTAAAATTTCAAAATACTGTTTCTGTCTTCATGTTCACTGACCTCTTCTTCTATAGTGTCTATTCTGCTGTTAATCCCAGCCTATAGCATTTCCATTTCAGAATATTGCACTGTTTTCATGTCTAGAAGATAAATCTGGTTCTTTTGTTGTATCTTCTATTTCTCTTCTCATTGTGTTCCTCTAAGGGTAGTTTACCCTTACTTATTTATTTTTTTATCTATCCTCACCCGAGGACACCTTTTGATATTTTGTTCAGGTAGAGTGGGAGGGGGAGAGAGAGAGAGAGAGAGAGAGAGAGAGAGAGAGAAACATCGACGTGAAAGGGACACATCGAGCGGCCGCCACCCGCACAACCCAACCAGGGCCGGGGACAAACTGCAACCGAGGTACATGCCCCCAGCGGGAACCGAACCTGGGTCTCTCTAGACCGCAGGCCAACGCTCCAACCGCTGAGCCAAACCAGCCAGGGCTACCCTTACTTATTAAGGTGTAATCCTATGAGAACTCTACTGTATGGTTGTAAGTATTCAATGAAATCTCTCCCCTTTAGCTGACAGGAACTCAAATTGATTCCCAAACCCTGTGAGCTCTAGGAATCAGCTTACAACTCCCGAGCAACTGCTCTCCCGTGACGTGTTCTGCCTCGCCTCATGCAGGTTCACCCTACACGTGTGCAGATTAACAGTCCACCAAAGATTTAAGGGGGTCCCTAAACACATTCCTAGACTTCTTTCTCTGTGCAGCTCTCTTTCAATACTCTGCCCCACGAATTTTAGTTACTTATCTTTCTCAACCTGTACCTCCTGAAATCACTGAGACCTTTGGGCTATTTTGGCTTCTACCAGAGTCTGGAAACTGCTTCAGCAGAAAATCCAAGAAAATCCTAGGGCTCACTTTGTTTCACTTCATCTGGGGATCATAAACCCACATTGCCCGAAGTCCAGTATCTGAAGAGTGCTTCACAAACTGTGTCCTGTTTTCTAGTTGGTCACATGGGGAGGCTAAATTCCAACTGTCATCCCTCGTAGTTGTCACAAAATTCTCCTTCCACTGAGCTTTTAGAAGTTGCTTTGGTTTTTAAATCTCTGGGACTGTTTTCATAGTAATCTGTTCCCTAAAGATGTTTAAAGTATTTCAAAAATGTCTTATTTCTTTATAATGTGATTTAATTCCCTACAGAGTCTGGTAGCGGATTTTTCAAAGTTACACCTGGTGTAACTTTTGACTCCACCATAAACCCTGACTCTAAACTTACCTGCTTTGTCCTAGTGAGATCACTGGAGAAAACATGTGTAAACTTCACATTATTAAGAAATATACCAGCAGCTGCTACTTGTTTAAATCCAGTCTCTGAAAGAGGCTCATCTACTCCTTGTCCTGTGGTGTTAAGAGAAGAAACAATACCATTAAAAATATATATATAAGGTATGCAAATGAAATCACATATAAGAGACTATAAATGCATTTATTTTTATTTTACTGAAATATTTCCTTGGGTACTTTTCCACTAACTTCTCAGCGAACTGACAAGTAATATTAGGCTATAATCCTATAAAAAGCTCAAGTATTCAAACTTTCCCAGAAGAATGTTTGCCTATTGCAGCGGATCTCAACCTGTGGGTCACGACCCCTTTGGTGGTCAAACGACCCTTTCACAGGGGTCACCTAAGACATAACAGCAGCAAATTTACAGTTATGAAGTAGCAACAAAAATAACTTTGTGGTTGGGGGCCACCACAACATGCGGAACTGTATTACAGGGTCGCGGCGTTAGGAAGGCTGAGGACCACTGCCCTAGGGGGAATTAGATGATAATGAAAGTGCAACTGTCTCAAGCTTTCCCCTTTCGTTCTGCCATCCCTTGATTAGCTATAGTTTACTAAGGCTGGCTCTACAGCTAATAAAAGGATGTTCTCAACTTAGGTGTTACATTTGGGTGGTCGGATCATCATGTAAGGTTTTTCCTTCTATCTTCATCGCCCAAATGTTCTGCATTATATTGCTTTCCCCTCCCTCCCTTCTCCTTTTTCACTTAAAAAATACTTTGAAACCTCTATTTCCAGAAGAAAGGCTGATTAGATACTCTGAAGGCTCATCCTACCACAAAAGAAGTAAGTGTCTTGCATTCCTGGGCTCACAGGATATAAGGAAGAAGAAAATCTTCAAAAGACAAAGCAAAGCAACCAAAAACCGCTGAGCTGAACCCTGGACATTAACATGAGAAAATGGGGGTGCTGTGTTGTCAGCACGGCGTGAGACCTGGAGAACCGAACCAAACACCGCTGGAAGCCAGGGAGCCTGTAGGGAGGCTGACTCATGCCGCTCCAGGTCAGCGGTGAATCAGATGCAAATCCTCTTCAGAGAAAATCACTCTCAATAAAGGCTAACAAGTTTCCTACTAATCTAGAGCAGTTTAGTCAAAGTCTTAAACACTAACAAGAAATTAATCAATTACGAATGAGTCACAGAAACCGTAAGTAACAGACTTAGAACCAGACTTCTGACATTGAAATCAGAAAACACAGACTATAAAATAACATAAAGGCGGAATCACGAAAATAAGCACGTTACATGAACTCATCAAAAACTACCAGACAGCTTTCTAAAAGAACCAAACGGATCTTTTAATAATGAAAAACAGAATTGCTGAAGGAGAAATAATTTCCTCAATGAATCAAGGGAGACCCAGTTGTAGGGAGGCTTAATGAACTCCAAGACAGGCCTGAAGTCATTATGCAGAATGCAGCATGGATGCAGATGGAACACATCTCTGACATATATGAGAGACATGACGGAAAGAATGAGAATTCCTAACTCACGTCTAACGGGAATTCCAGAGAGAGACAAGAAAATGGAGAGGACATATGAAGGGATAATGGCTGGGGATTTTCCAGAAACCCACAGATAAAGGAAATACAATGTACATCAAGCAGGATAAATACTTTTTAAAACCCCTCACAGATACACTAAGATAAACCGCAGAATACCAAAATTAAAGAGAAAATTTTAAAAGCAGTTTCCGAGAAAGACAAATTACTACCATGGAACACCATTTGGCTGAGAGAAGACTTCTTAACAGAAACAATAAAAGACAAAAAGCAACAGAATAATATTTCTGAAGTGCTAAGAGAACTGTCAGTCTAAAATTATCTACACTGAAAGCAAATAGAATAAAAACAGATCTGTCGAGAATAGAACTAATTGAAACTATCTTTACCATCAATCAATCTGTACTAGGGGAACTTTCAAAAAATATACTTCAGGAATGAAGGCCTAGGATACTAAAGAAATTATAAGAGAAACTGGTAAATATGTATATAAATCTAAACAAGCACTGTCTAAACAACAAATTAAATATTAATAGCTATATGTCCTGTGGTTAAAAAAAAACAAAGGACTAAGATACTAAGGTCTTTGTATTTTTTCAGGAGAGGGGATATTAATCTTATACTTTATTAGGTATGAACATTAAAATTTTAAAGCATTTTAAGCATTAAAAGAATAGAAGTAGTTTATCATTTCATAGCCAGTGGGGAAGGTAAGAAGGGGTTGGATAAGTAAAAGAAAAACAAGCACTTAAGAAGTAAAAGAAAGAAAAAAGGGATAAGTAGAGAAAGACGGGAGAATAGAACGCCAAAGGCAAATGACAAACCTATCAGTAACCAGAATAGAAGCAAATACACTACTCTTGCCAATTAAAAGACAGATTGTATTTTTTATTTTTTGTTAATCCTCACCCGGGGGTATTTTTCCATTGATTTTTAGAGAGACTGGAAGTTGGGGGGGTCGGGGAGGGGAAAAGAGAGAGAGAGAGAGAGAAACATCAATGTGAAAGAGACACATCAATGGGTTGCCTCCCGCACTACCCGGACCGAGGCCAAGGATCGAACCTGCCACCCAGGTACGTGCCCTTGACTGGAACTGAACCCGAGAACCTTAGATCCTTGGGCCTATGCTCTAACTACTGAGCCAAACCGGCCAGGGAAAATTGTATTTTTTAAAAGAACAATCAAAATCAGCTACCTAGTATTTATAAGGTAACAACACTTAAGACATCAGTACACAGAAAGGTTGAAAGGGATAAAAAAATACATACCAGGCAAATTTAACCCCCAAAACAACAGCTGGAGTATGACTCTCGGAAATGTAAGACAAAAGACTGTGAAGATCACTATAAATAATTAGTGATCCAACTCACTGGAAATATATAACAACTTCTATGTGCCTAATAAAATAGCCTTTAAGTATACAAAAGCAGAACATACATAGTAAACATTAAGCCATTTCAGGTATTAAAGGATAAATTGGCTATCACAGCCAGAAATTTAACATTTCTCATTCACAAAATGAGATTTAGGTCATGCAGGCAAATTAGTGAACTTACAAAACTAGTAAAGTACAGAAGATTTGAACCAAAAAAATCAAGGTTGATTATTTGATATATATTAATTTTAAACCCAACAATTAGAAAACAGATTTTTCTCAAGCATACAATGGTAGATTTATAAAAACTAACCATGTTAACACATTTCAAAGAAGTACAATCAAATAAACCATACTGTCAGAACACGAGCAGTTACATTGGAAATCAAACATAAAAGATAAAACAACAAAGCAAGCCCAGTCACTGGGAAATTTAATGAACAATTGTAAAGAACTCATAGGTCAATGAAGAAATCATAATGGAAATTTAAGATACATGGCACTGAATACTTATGAAATTGCTACATATCAAAACTGCAGGTAAGCAAACAAAATAGTGCCTCAAAATATATAAACCTGGAATGCTTTAAAAAACAAAACAAAAAGGAGACTATAACTACAAAGTTAGAACTAAGCAACTAACTTATGAAATTAGAAAAAGAACACCAAAAAAAGCCTTAAAAAAACAAGTGTGGCCCTGGCCGGTTTGGCTCAGCACTTAGAGCATCGGCCCACAGACTGGAGGGTCAAAGGTTCCTGGTCAAGGGCACATGCTTGTACAGTACTGCAGGTTTAATTCCCCTGTCCCATCAGGGTCCTGCGGGAGGCAATCAATCGATGAGCCTCTCTCACACGGATGTTTATTTCTCTCCCTCCCACCTTCCACTCTATCTAAAAATCAATGGAAATATATCCTCCGGTGAGGATTAACAAACAAAACAACAAATATGAACACAAGAACTTATTCACTGTTGACTTATAATGAAATGAGGCAAATGAGCAGTACCAAAGGACAAGCTGGTCAGGGACATGAGTCCAAACAATAACCTGGGGTGGGCACAAGTCATTGGAAAACAGGTTCATTTAATTATAAGACTAATGTCCAGTAGGCAAAGTCAGGCACACTGAGTATGAAAATCAGTTTCTGCCAATACCAGATGTCCCTAACCAAAAATATAAAACAAATTGCTTTTATAATCACAGCACAGAAATAGCATGTCTAGCTGAAAAGTTCACCAAAATATTCTTGAAAAACCAGACTAGCCAGATCATAAGAGATTAAAAGATCTGAGCCCAAATTAACACAAGGGAAGGAAAATCTGTTCAGAATAAAGTAACCATCCCACGTGAGGAGTTATCTTTTTTAATCCTCTTTGTTACTACTAAAATTAAAATATCTTAGCAGAAAAATACCATTAATGTCAGCCAGTAAATTTTATGGTTCCAAATATAAAATCATCTTAAATCCCAGCAGTTATATTTTAAGACAGTTCAATCAGCTGCCTGGGCCACTTTGAAGCTACCCATAATCCACATGGAGTATGGTTCTTTACATCCAGTTCACTTAAGAGTCCTCTTGGTTACCATCTGCTCTGATCATATTTCTGTGACTACGATGCTTTAATTCTGTAATCCCAACGCACAACACAGGGCTGAGCCCAGGCCACCAGCCCCACCAGACTCTAACTCACCCGTCAGATTAACACCAGAGGAGAGAGCGAAAATAGTAATATACCAACCTTGAATTATCTTCTCCTTGTTTAATCTTGTTTGTCCACTAAAGTAGAGAGGGTGGGGGGAAAAAAACACATTTATTAGCAAATTGGGTTATTTTTAAGATGAGAAAAAAAAATCAGCAATGACAGGCAATGATATTCATAAAGATAGCATATGAACATAGTCTAACCTATAAAATTTATTCTAAATTAACATTTGCAATCATTTAATGTGCTAAATTAAGCTAAGAACTTCACACGCCCAAATTAAAATGGAGAGATCACGAATCAATCTTAAGTGAACTGCAGGTGGGAAATTCTATTTAAAATGTACATGTATATATTATTTTTGTCAAGTATTCCTGTTAAAATAAGTATGCTGACCAACACGATCTTCAGAGGCAGCAGAACCCACACGTGAAAGTCAGTGTGCCCACTGTCACGGAACGAGCACGTGCAGGACGGCGAATGGAGGGGGAACGCGGACACACCGCAGACCCCACCTTCTCCCAGAACCTAGGTCTTTCTCAAGCTGTTCCACATTTTTGTGCTGACAACTATCTTGTAGACGGCAACGAAGAACTCAGGTTTGGGTAATACATGTTTAAGGATAAAACCCCAACCCAACCAATTTTGAAGCAACCAGAGGGGTGAACGGACTGGAAAACTGTCACAAAATAACAGTCAATTGAGGCTGGAGGGGGAAGAAGGCAGGGTTTACAAGGACAGGAATGAATGACAGGGCAGAACTACAGTTAAAGCCAGGATCAAATACACAAAAAGCTATCAAGGAGAATTCAGCTGAAACTTCCTGGAGCTCCTTCTACGTGCTAAGTCCAGTGCAAGGCACAGGGGACACAGATCTGCTTAGGGGTTGCCCTTGAGAACGGAGTTGGCTTGGTCCGTGTGGGCACTGGACATAGAATAGGGAATGGGAAGTAAAAATGGCAAACAGATTTCTTTAGAACAAGTTATTTTCTCATTTGGGATCAAGTGTCTGTGTCTACAGCCTCCATTTATATCCTCCATGTCAACGAGAGGTGAAAATCTTTGAAGTAAACCTTATTGCCATATACCAGGCTCAGGAACAAAACTGCCTTGGCTCTGCAGCTGAGCTGAGCTCAAGTGCTTCAGTTCAACTCCGTCAAATGAGAACAGATAGTAACCGTCTATCTCACATGACTCATGATAATTTAGTGAAGACAGACAGTTAAAGTGTTTCGAATCCTGCTTAGCTTTTAGTAAGCACGCAAGAGTTATAAGAGCTTTATAGAAGCTTGGACAGAACTTTACAGAATTCAAAGATTTAACTTAATGCATTTCTTTAATCTTTAAACACTGTGAAATAAATACTATAAACAAATAAAACTGGCATCCATACACCACCATGTTAACAGATCACTGCCGGCCTCCTAGACCCTCTTCCACCACAATGTCCTCCCACCCACAAGGGATCCATTAACTGGACATTTGGATGCTCCTTTACTTGCCCTTCTTTATAGTTTTCCCACCCGGGTAGAACACAGATTAGTTTACTGTTGTTGAACTTGATAACGGATTGCTTCTTACTATACGTAGTCTTCTGCACGTTGCTTTTGTTCAACATTTTGTGAGATACCCCAATGTTGTGGAATGTGACTGTACTCCTTACAATGTGATACTCCAGTGTAAGACTTAACCACCATCTATTTATGTAGTCTATTGTTGACAGATGTTTAGAGTGTTTCCAGTTTGAGGCTACACTGTTGTAAGTCTGTACACAGTGCAGGAGATGCTCGGGCAGTGGCTCTAGCATCACTGGTATTGCCTGGGAACTGGTGGAAAAGGCAGTCTCGGGCCCCACCCAGACACACTGAATCAATAACTCAGAGGTTGGGGCCCAGAAATCTGTATTATAACAAACCCAAGTGATTCTGATGCACGCTTATGTTTGAGAACCACTCAGGGATAAGCAAACAGCTCTTTTTGTAAACAAAGTTGTATTGGAATACAGTCACACCCATTTGTTTATGTATTGTTATGGCTACTTCCATACTATAACTATGAAGCTGAGCCGTTCAGGCAGACTGTATGGCCTGTAAGCCTAAGCTATTTACTATCTGGCCCTTTAACAATATAATCACCCATGCCTAGTGATATATATCTAGCATGAGAATCTCTGGGCTCCAGGTATGTAAATGCTCAGCTTTACTATGTAATACCGAAGTTATTATACCGATTTATACCACTCTGCCATGTTCCACATCCTCACCACCACTTAGTAATGTAAGAGCTCTCAATTTGTGCCAATCTGACACATGAAGAGTTTATCTCACCATGATTTTAATTCATTTCCTGACTGCTATGAAGGCTGATAACTCCCACTTTGTTTTAAATGAAGCACTACTTTTTTTCTAATGTTTTTATTGATTTTAGAGAGCGCGGAAAGGAGGAGAGAGAAACATCAGTTGGCTGCCTCCTGCAGGCCCCCTACTGGAGATTGTGCCAGCAACGTGGGCATGTGCCCTGACCAGGAATTGAACCAATGACCATTTGGTGCATGTGAGGACACTCAACCAATGAAGCCACACCAGCCAGGGCATGAAGCACTTTTTTTTTTTTTTTTTTTAAATCTCCCATGGGACTAATGTAGAAAGGAACTTCATCTTAAAGACAGAATCACAAACTCAGGTCTGCCTGGAACCTTGTCCACTGCTTAAAAAAAACAGTTGCCGCCCTGGCCGGTTTGGCTCAGCGGTTAGAGCGTCGGCCTGCGGTCCGGAGAGACCCGGGTTCAGTTCCCACTAAGGGCATGTACCTCGGTTGCAGTTTGTCCCCGGCCCTGGTTGGTTGTGCGGGTGGCGACCACTCGATGTGTCCCTTTCACATCGATGTTCCTCTCTCTCCCTCCCACTCTATCTGAACAAAGAATGGAAAAATGTCCTCGGGTGAGGATGATAAAAAAAATAAATTAAATAAATAAATAAATAAATAAAAAACAGTTGCCAACCTCTGCCAGGAGCGGTGATTCTCAAAGTGGTGCGCGCATCAGAATCCCCTGGCGGTCTTAGTAAAACACTGACTGCTGGGTCTGGGGACTGTGCGCTCGTTCTTCCAGACACAACACAGGCAGCCAGTTCTTTGGACAATGTTCCCTCCAGGCCCCATTCGCCACCACCATCCCATTTAAATGCCCAACTCCATGCTGCCATTTGACTCAGGCAAGACTAATTTAAGTTCTCATCTGCATGCTAAGTAACTTTTTACTTGTGTTGTCTACCTGGCTCTAGTTCCTTAAAGGCACAGCCAGAGGGTTGTATCATTGCAACATGGAGAAAATCCTAAGAAATAACAGAACCCCAGTATATGTACTCTGCCTATGGAGGGGCATCTGGAAATATGAATCAAAATGACAAATCTGTTTACTCTTTCATCCAGCAACCCTGTTACTGGGAATAGATGCATTCATCTATATGTAAAAGAATACTTGCTACAGTATTATTTCTAATAGCCAAAGATGGTAAACAACCTACATGTCCATCAAAATGTCATCCTATAAAAAATGCAATTCTAAGTACTTTGATAATTTTGCAACAGCATTGCCCCACTATCTAACCATTTTTAGTGAAAGAAGAAAAAACTAGCTCTGATATAATAAAAGACTTCATATAATAAAGACTGCTGCTGCCTGGTCAATGTGGCTCAGTGGACTGAGCACCATCCCATGGACTAAGAGGTCCTGGTTCAATTCTTGGTGAGGGCGCAAGCCCAGGTTGCAGGCTAATACCCAGTAGGGGGCTTGCAGGAGGCAGCTGATTGATGTTTAGCTCTCACTGTGATGTTTCTTTCTCTCCCTTCCTCTCTCTCTAAAAAAAAAATCAACAAAAACATATTTTTTAAAAAAGACTGCTGCAGACATTACTAACATTATTAACAACCACTGGCATTCTGTTGGTCATTTCTGCCTTCAAATCACTTTATAAATATTATAGAGTGGGACTCTAGAAATAGAAGTTTTTCTAAAAACATTAATAAATATTTAGTTTTACAGCTTTTATCAGCTTTATGAAAAGGTCTGTACAAACCCTTGAAGCAACTGTTCAAAGTTAGTTTGTCTGGGGAGTGGAAAAGAAAAGTAGGTGACTAAAATAGTTTTACTATTAATCTACTTCCCTGAACCAAAGTCTGGCCTGTGACAGCGGCAGAGAAGGCGAAGCGAGCTGAAAGGTCAGAAAAATATATTTTGAAGGAGTCAGGAATAACACAACACCACTCATTTTCAAAATGTGCAGTGTGATCCATTCCCAAAACACAACACCTGACTCTGCAAGAATTCAAATGCTTCTGCCAAGAAGGGAAGTCTTATGACCAGCCATTTATAGGCCCTACGAACAGGCATCATTCATTTTGTAGATTATCACACTGTTCTTCATGTAAAAAGGTATTTGACTTTTAGTTCTGGTTTACATCCTAGGGCATTTCTTCAGAAATCACATAGAAAGCTTAATCTCCCAGACATATCTTTTCAAAGAATTCAATTGCATCAGACAAGCACTCACAGTGCCATGAAAGAGAGACAAATTGTGGCAAGTTAGTCTACATTTGGGGCAAGTTTTCAAAACAGATATCCTTTAGCATTCATGGGAATGTAAAGCCTCACCTGATATTTAATCATGAAGTCAGTTTTATTCTAATTGCTTTACACCAAGTAAGTCATTTGAAAATTTAAGCATTTTTTTTTTTTTTTTGGATAGATTTTGTTCGTATAGAGTGGGAGGAAGAAAGAGAGAAACATCGACATGAAAGGGACACATCGAGTGGCCGCCATGCGCACGACCAACCGGGGCCGGGGACAAACTGCAACCGAGGTACGTGCCCTTAGCGGGAACCGGACCCGGGTCTCTGGACCGCAGGCTGACGCTCTAACTGCTGAGCCAAACCGGCAGGGCATCATTTGAAAATTTAAAAGATTTCAAGGGCTAGTAATTTGGACACTATCCCCAGACGTTTGAGAGGGAAACGAACGTAATACTCAACTCATGATATATTTTTGTTTATATATAGAGTTATCCTAGGTACAAAGGCTAGGATCAACCTCATTCCCAAGAAACAAATAGCACAGTCACATAACGATTATCTGTTATCTTTTTAAAGTTTACAGATGATTTAATATTTATTTTTGCTTGTTTTAAGTTTTGTTTTTGTTTTTTTATCCTCACATGAGGACATTTTTCCATTTTTTTTTTTCAGGTAGAGTGGGAGGGAGAGAGAGGAACAGAGAGAGAGAAACATCAATGTGAAAGGGACATATCGAGTGGCTGCCACCTGCACAACCAACCAGGGCCGGGGACAAACTTCAACCAAGGCACGTGCCCTTAGCGGGAACCAAACCCGGGTCTCTGTGGACCGCAGGCCGATGCTCTAACCGCTGAGCTAAACTGGCCAGGGCAAAAATTTTTAAGTTTTAAGACCTAGTTTAAAATGGAAGTGAAATGGATGGTCTGCAGGCAACTGATTGCAAACACCTACAAATAACATGTCAAGGAAACTAGGGCCTTGAATAAATTGTGTAGGTAATGGAAATGCCCACACATACTGGAGTTTTCAACAATGCTGTGCTATAAGGTCATGAGAATTTACAGTTTAATAATATTAGTAGACTTGAAGTTTAAAACTTGGGCATTCTATTCCAAAAATGATACACAAGGCACTTCCACTTCCAAGTACGATGAAGAAAGGTAAACAAACATATACATACAGATTCATAAATGATTTGGTTTAAAGAAATTGCCTTTTGTTAGTTTGTTCATCCTCACCCAAGGATATTTTTCCATTGATTATTTTCTTATAGAGTGGAAGGAAGGAAAGGACAAAGAGAGAGAAACATCGATGTGAGAGAGACACATCAATTGGTTGCCTCCTGCACGACCCCAACAGGGGATCAAACCTGCAACCCAGGTATGTGCCTTTGACAGGGAATCGAACCCGAGACCCTTCAGTTAGAGGGCCAATGCTCTCTGACTGCTGAACCAAACAGGCCAGGGCAGAAATTGCTTTTTAGAGTTTTCTTGCATTACCTGAAGAAGCACTGCTCAATAAAATAATCCAACTCAACAGGGAAGCAGCTTATCATAATCCTATCAATTATTTATTTCAACACTTTCATTCCACTTTCTCACAAATACAACAGAACAAAGCAAACTATTTTTATCACCATCCACAATTATATTAAGAAATAAAGAGTAGCCTCTAAAATGGTTGGTGATGTTCCAGCAACCTATAACAGAATAGGATACAGATGAGTGCAGTGTTTACGAGGATGGGCTGCAGAGTCATGCTGCTTTGGTTCAAATCCTGCCTCCCCAACCCGACATGTGATTTTAAGCCAGTTACATGCCTTCTGCATCTCAGTTCCTTACCTGCAAACTGAGTAATCCTTACCTCACTGGATTGCTGTCAGAATTTAATTACAACCATGCCTGACACATAATTTCTTAAGATATTTTTTTAACTGATTTCTACAGAAATCCTATGAGTATAAAAAGTCAGTTTAAAAAAATGAAGCCTTTTTCAAAAATCAGGGAGGGGATAAAATCCACATTCCTACAACTATTGTTTATTAAGAATCTAAAAAGGGATCACCTGATTTTTCAAGAGGTGTTTTAACCCAGATTTCCTACAGCTTCTGAGCTTCAATCATATGCCAGACACTATGCAGGCGGGATCAAAGGAGCCAGAAAGTGCTCTGACACTGGAAGAAAAGGCAATCTGGTCTCTAGTTCCTGTTCTGCTACTGATTTGCTTATGAACTTAAGTAGGTCAAAATGGTCCTAAAGCATTCTATAAATGAAGACAGTGAGAAGATAGGGAGGGATTCCATCTCCAGTTTAATCATTAAAATCCTGTGACTGATTTGGCTCAGTGGTTAGAGCATCAGCCTGAACCAAATAGTTGTGGGTTTGATTCCAGTCAAGGGCATGTACCTTGGTTGTGGTTTGATCCTGGCCCTGGTCATGCAGGAGGCAACCAATCAATGTGTCTCCCTCACATCAATGTATGTTTCTTTCTTTCTTTCTCTCTCTCTCCCCCTCCCTCCCTTCTATCTCTCTCTCTCTGTCCCCCTCCCTCCCTTCTCTCTCCCCCTCTCCCTCCCTCCCCCTCCTTCCCTTCTACATCTCTCTCCCTCCCCCTCCTTCCCTTCTACATCTCTCTCTCCCCCTCCTTCCCTTCTATCTCTCTCTCCCTCCCTTCTATCTCTCTCTCTCCCTCCCCCTCCTTCCCTTCTATCTCTCTCTCTCCCCCTCCCTCCCTTCTATCTATCTCTCTCTCCCCCCCTTCCTTCTATCTCTCTCTCTCCCTCCCCCTCCTTCCCTTCTATATCTCTCTCTCCCCCTCCCTCCCTTCTATCCTCTCTTGCTACCCCTTCCCTCCCACTATCTGAAAATCACAGGAAAAAATACCTCGGCTGAGAATTTTAAAAAAAAATGCTGTGAATCCTAAAGGGACAATTTCAAGTGATTTCCAAGATTATATTCCTGTAAAAGAAGAACAGGACAGAGAAGATAGCAGTTAAAGTCGTCCTGACAAGGTTAAATCGTATGTGTCCCTTGTGAGCTCCATGAAATAAAATATGGCATCTTAGCCCTGGCCAGTTTGGCTCAGCGGTTAGAGCGTCAGCCTGCGGTCCGGAGAGACCCAGGTTCAGTTCTCGCTGAGGGCATGTACCTCGGTTGCAGTTTGTCCCCGGCCATTGTTGGGTCGTGTGGGTGGCAACCATTCGATGTGTCCCTTTCACGTCGGTGATTCTCTCTCTCTCTCTCTCTCTCTCTCTCCTTCCCACTCTATCTGAACAAAATATCCAAAAAAAATGTCCTCCGGTGAGGATTAAAAAAAAAAAAAAAAAGGCATCTTATTTATCTGTGTAACACAGTACACTTGCAATAGTGTCTACTCAAAAACGCAGTGCTGATAAACTATACATACATATGTATTTGAGGACTAAATGCATTTTTATTAGAGCTGTCCTTACAGAAGGAGAAGTTATTTAATTCTCAGATATATTTCTTCCCCACCATTGTGCTATATACACTTTATCTTTCTCCCATTTAATTCTCACACTAACCCAGTGAGATAGGATGTAGGTACTATGATTATCCTCGTCTTATATATGAGGAAACTGAGGAAGGCAAGATTAAGTCAGTTAGCAGAAGGCCAGGTTACAAAGCTTCTAGCTGGAGCCCTGATTCTTACTTGAAGAATCTTACTTAGGTCTATCTTGCTGGAAAAATCTGTGCTCTTAACCACCCTGAATTTCACTTCTCATTAACAGTCGGCGAATAAATGTTGAGAAGGGAAAAGATGAGACACAAAGATATATCAGCACTTAGCTCCGCGTAATGTTATGATAAAAATATTTGTTCGGGCTGATGCGATCGGCTGAGACAAGGGCAGGGTCCCCTTCTGTTTCCAGTAAGGTAACCTCTGGAGGGAAGAAATACATCTCAGATGCATGTCTGTGGGGCTGACTGCCCTGGCAAACGCGGGGAAACAGCAGAGGCAGAGAGAGGGGATATCGGAAGGCAGCCAGCACCAAAAATAGCCGGGGACAAGCTATTCTGCCGTCTTCGCAATTTGCTGGGAACCAGAACGGTGCGCAGAGAAGTCTGGAGACAAGGTTGTCATGCTTTAGCTTTAGCTCTGCCACCAAGTGGCAGGGAACCTCGACCGTTTCCTTATCCAGACCTCACTCTCCTCATCTGCAACACGGGGCTGTTGCTATTAGCACCTGCCTCCCTGGCTCAGCGTTGCTGGGGGGAGGAGGGGTCGAAAAGAAACAGCACGTACGAAAACACCGAGAAAATCGCCGGTCCAAGCCAACTCTCCGACGGGTGAGCAAGCAGGAAGAGAAGGGATGACAGCGTAAAGATCCCTTCACCCACTCCAAGACACTCAATGAAGGAGGGAAAGGCACCCTGAAACAGCAATACTCACTGCCGGACAAAGGTGAGAGCGAAACGCGTCATAGCTGGCACCCTCTCCACCGCGCCGCACGACTTCTCGGCAGTGCGGGCTCACCTCTTCTACACCACTTCCGCCAAACCCCGCCGGCCCGCCGGCTCCGTTGCTACTGGTCGAGGCGGCTGCCTACGTCATCTACGGAAGGCCAATCAGGGCCGTGGGAGGCCGGCAGGTCGGAGGAGACTGGTGAGAGCTGAGGCCCCGCCCAAGGCCGTGGCGCTTGCGCCTCTGCGCGCGGGCTGTGATTGGTGCGCAGCAGGTGCGTGCGGGGCCCGCCCTGCAGTCCGCTGTGGAAGCGCAAGTTCGTATCTTGGAGGCGCAGTGTTGTAGGTGGAAGCAAGGCTCGGATTTGGGGTTGATCTGATTTGAGGCTACAATGCATCCAGTTGCCTTACCTCCTGGGTGTACAGCTCCAGCCATATTGAGTCATGTGAGGTTTTTAACTGTCCACCCCTAACACGGGAGATGTGTGGTTAGTAAGGTCTGTGGACTTAGACCACCCAAATTCAGTCCCTGACCCCGCCTTGGAGGCATGCTCCTAGAGCAAACTTCATTCAGGCTCTTTTGAGCCTTTTTCTAGACTAGGCCTCATCCTTGGCCTGCTGAGCCCAGTTTTCCCAAAGAATCCTGCCAAGCCAGCTTATAGAGAATCCCCTTACCCTTGGTATCTGGTCACGATCCTTCTCTACCAGCCTTGATTTCTAAGTAAGCTTCTCTTCCAGTTGACCCTTGATATCTAACCAAGTTCCTCTTAGTAATTTTCCATTCTATTCCTCACCCTGGCCCCTGGCTATAAATCTGCACTCGTCCCTGTGGTATCTGGAGTTGAATACAAACCCTCCCCCATTGCAATAGGCTTGACCTCTACTCTAGTGGGCTTGTTTAGAGCCTTACCCACACCCGCTGTTGTTTTTAAAAAGCATGTAGGGAGTAGGTTCTCTTTAACAGCCTTCAGGGCCTTGAGAGAATTACTTAACCTCTTGAACCCTCCATTGCAATGATAGGTAAAATGGGATGACAGTAGCCATGACACAGGTAAAGCTTCACAATGTGACCTTTACGTTATCTTTATGCATTTTTAATCTAACGTCTCATATTTAATAATGCATTTGTTTCATTGGATCCCCAGTGACATACAAGAAGATGGGTTTAGAGACCTTAAGTGATGCTTGGGGCACTCTTCAAAACAATTTCACATGTATAGTCCCATTTGGCCCTCAGAACAATTCTGAGGCAGACAGGGTAGGCTTTATTAGTGTTACTTAAAAGATGAGAAATTTAGCCTAGAGAGAAATTAAGCAATTTGTCTAAACTCACAGCTGGTCAATGTTGACACGGGACTAATTCAGAGATTCTCAAACTTACCTGTACATTCAAACGATCTAGGACCTTTTGAATTTCAGGCTACATCCCAGAAAAATTAAATATGAGCTTATGTGGGAGGGACCCAGGTACCAGCAACTTTTTTTTTTTTTTCTTTTTGGTACATGCCCCTAGCAGGAACCGAACCCGGGACTCTCTGGTCCACAGGCCAGTGCTCCAACCGCTGAGTCAAACCGGCCAGGGCCTGAGTGCATTTCTAAAAACAGCCTTTCACTTTGTCTTATTTAACATAATAATTCTGAAGTTATTAAGGTATCAGTTATTTCAGTTTTAGAGATGCAAAAATTAATCTCTCAGAATCGGAATTTAACTTCAGGTAAGTATCAAAACTATAACTATAACTATGAGGGTAAGTACTGGCTCTATTTCATTATTTCCCTGGCTCCTATCAAAATGTCTGAAACATAGTAAGGACTCAGTTAAAATTTGTTAAATGAATGAACGAAGAATATCTGTTATGATCAGTTTGTCAAATGAATCATACATCTAAAAGTAGCAGATAAAATGGGAGAGGGTTGCTTTAGGAGAAATTCAGGAAACTATAAAGCACTAATATTCATTTTAAAAATTATCCAAGAAATATATACAAAACAATGTCTTCATAAACTTTAAAATTTGGGGGGAAATTGAGAAATGCAGATCTTTGAAAGAATACATTATCCTACATTATTCACAAAAGTTCAGGAATTTTCCTTTAGCTTATAAAAAGAACAGGGAGTTTGTTTAAACTTCACTTAGATAGAAGCTAGAAATAACCATTTGATATACTTTTGTTGAAATCACATATGCCTTTTTTCAATAATGAAAAATGTGCTTGTTGTGGTACCTCATATGATGGAATTCTGAATTAGTCAGGATAAGCCAAGCTATGCTGAGGTAACAAATTAACCCTGAAATTTTTGTGGTTTAGCACATAAAATTTTGTTTCTCTCTCATACTACATATCTGACAAAGATCAAAAAGGGGCTTTATGCCAGGCCTATGTGGCTCAGTGGTTGAGCGTTGACCCATGCACCAAGAGGTTGCTGGTTCAATTCCTGGAAGGGGCACATGCCCAGGTTGTGGGCCAGATCCCCAGTGGGAGGCATGCAGGAGGTGGCCAATTGATGTTCTCTTTCATTGATGTTTCTATCTCTCCCTCTCCCTTCCTCTCTCTCTAAAATCACTAAAGAAAAAAAGTTTAAAAAACAAACAAACAAGCAAAATGGGACTTTATTCCATATAGTCACCCAGGGACTAGGATTGACAGACACATTGACATCAATGCATGGATTCATAACTACTGAGGCAGCAGATAAGAGCCACTGAGCATCTTGAAGCAATTCTTAGATGCTTCCTCTATTCATTGTCCACAGCTACTCACGTGCCCTTTCTAACTGCAAAGATGATGGGCTATGTGAGGGAACACATGAATGTCCAGTGAGTAGACAACACTGCATGTGGTGGAATATCCCAAGGTTCTGCCCTTGGCCCCATTCTCTGCCCAATCATTCAGTCTCCTATGGACTCTTATCCAGTGTATAGATCTTATTTATATCTGCAACCTGCAACTTTCCTCCAATCTCCTCATTCATTTATTCAGTTACCTATTCAGTATATTCACTTGGATCTCTAGTAGGCATCTTTTTTTTTTTTTTTTTTTATCCTTACCTAAGGATATTTTTCTATCATCAGATAGAGTGGGAGGGAGAGAGGAGAGAGAGAGAGAGACATTGATGTGAGAGAGACACATTGACTGGTTGCCTCTCACACAATCCCGACCAGGGTCTGGGACAAACTGCAACTGAGGTACATGCTCTTGACCGGAATTGAACCCATGACTCATCGGTCCACTGGCTGATGCTCTACTGTGGAGCCAAACTGGCCAGGGCTCTAGTAGGCATCTTAAGCTAACTTTGTCCACACAGAAACTTTGATTTTTACCTCCAGAGACCACTCACTCCTCTTCAAGTCTTTCTCATTTCATTAATGGCAAAAACCATTTCCCTATTTGCTCATGTAATCCTTGATTCCTCAACTTAACCTAATGCTCCCCATCAAATTCACCACACGTTTCTGTAGGCTCAATAATGCAGTGAGTACCCTGGCCGGTTTGGCTCAGCAGTTAGAGTGTTGGTCCGTGGACCAGAGAGTTCCAGGTTTGGTTACCGCTAAGGGTACGTACCTCGGTTGTGGTTCGTCCCTGGCCCCTGGTGTGGTCGTGCGGGGAGCAACCAGTCAATGTGTCTCTCTCACATTGATGTTTCTCTCTCTCTCTCTCTCTCTCTCTCTCTCTCTCTCTCTCTCTCTCTCTTTCTCTCTCTCTTCCTCCCTCTCTCCCTCCTGCTCTGTCTGAAGATAAATGCAAAAAAATGTCCTCAGGTGAGGATAAAAATAATAATAATAATAATAATGCAGTGAATGCTTAACTTTTACTCAGTTAAATAAGATTTAATTGTAGTCCTCACTGAAGATAAGCCAAGTGTGAAAATACTTGATCTACTTGGAATGTGGGGTTGGGAATGAGAGTAGGGTATGGTATCAGTCCCCCAGGCATTTTAATACTGTCAACAGTAGCATTAAGGGTGAAATTAATTACATTGTGACCAAATGCTGGTCTATTGGTTAATCAGAGTCAGTGAAATTTCTCTTCTTATTATTTATAATTTTTGGACTGAAAGTTTTCTCCTTATTCTGATAGCAAGACTAAAATAGTTAAAGACTTAAACCTCCAAGACTTCAAAGATCTTTAAAGATACACATCTCAGCAATTCGTAGAGACTTCTTCGTGAACTAGTCCACGGTCATTTTATGTAAATACTTTGTGTGTGCCTGGGAAGAATGCCGTTCACTTACTGCGTACAGTGTCTGTGTATGTCTGAATCAAGCTTATTTATTGTGGTGTAAAAATCTTCATATGTGAGGGAGAAAAAAATGGCGGCGGAGTGAATGGAAGCTACACAGACCATCTCCCAGGACCAAACTGGATTTACAACGGAAATAGAGACAAATCATCAGGAAGGGGAAACCGAAAGGCAGCCTGGAGGACCACATAACCAGGGACACTGACTCAATCCTGGTAGGCTTGCGAGGACGCGAGAGGGGGCCGGGAGCCCACGGTCCGCAGAGGCCTGGGCTGGGACCAGCGGACTCGGCTAAAAGCTGCTACCGCCTCAGCTGCGTCCGGCGACCGCAGCTGAGTCCTGCAAACTCCGCTGAGTGCTACGCCCTCGGCTGGTGCCGCAGACTCGGCTGCCCTCAGGTTAAAAGTCCCAGGTGGCTCCACCACGCAGAGTCTGGACAGAGGCTAAATTGGCAGCAGCCACCCACCTTGGGCCCCGGCAGAGGGAGGGCAGACTGGACTGGAACTGTGTGGGGACACTTGGGATTTGGAGGGTGCTCAGAACTTTTGCTGAGTGCAGCCACGCAGGACTGTGGTCATCTTGCTCCTTCTCAGGGCCCGGGGGAGAGGCGGCGGCCCCTCACTCGGAGATTCAGCCCCACCTGGTGTCCATTGACATGCCAATTGAGGCCCATTAACAACCAGCATCTACCCCACCCTTGGGAAATCCTCTTACACTGAGCACCTGAGGGAGTTTTTCAGGCAACTCAGAAACCAAGGTTCTTCAGATGACCTCTACTAATAGCCTCCAGGCAAAAAAAGCTAGAGGATAACTACCATTCCCTGGGCTAGCAACTCTAACCAGGACAG